GATGCCAATATTTTGTATCCCATGATTCTGTTTCCAGCCTAGTTCTTTTGTCTTCATGTACATCGAATCATAACGTCCTGTTCTTTGAAATTCTATAATCTCATTACATATCTTCTGAAGATATTCCTTTTTGGCCCTGTTCGTGGCTCTTTTCAATTCATTCCTCAGTCTCCTGTATTTCCTCCTGCCTTCTTCATTGTTGACATTCTTCCATTTCCTTCACTCCTCCATTTTACTCATCATCTCCTGTGTAACCCATGGTTTTCTTGCTATGTTCTCAACTTTACCAACCAAAGCACTGATAGTATCTAACATGCATTCATTTATATTGTTCCAGTGCACTTCAGCATTTCCGCTTTCACATTCAATTGCACTGAGTTTCTCTTCTAGGGTCTCCTGCATGCTTTGTCTTTGAGCATATAACTTCTCCAAATCCCATCTAGTTCTGCGCTTTTGAAATCTAATAACTGAATAATTGGTATAAGTTAGTAGACTGAGCAGCCATGCGACAGCTTTGTGCTTCTGTGAGGGGCGCTCCTGAGGAACGGCAGTCCAGCCACTGGGTCAAGGAACCATTCAGGGTGTTTACTACTGTCAAGTACGCTATGGAGTTAGCTCCATATCACAGAAACACACATTTTTTGGGGATCAAAGGCTGGCAATGGTCTCAGGGGAATTTGTGGATGTTGACACACAAATTTCATAAATCCTGAGGAATGCCTACTGACACAAGAGTGGTCAGCTCTACCAGCAAACCCTACTCCCATGTCCAAGAAGCTATAACTGCGTGATCCCTGGGCAATGCAACTCTATAAGTTGTAGCAGACGGGAGAGGATGAGGGCGACTTCCCAGCGCCTCTAAACTGGGATCATGTGCATGCAAGAGGAGCAACTCACCATGACCTGTCATACTCACCCACCGAAGGATTCGGTTCCCATCTCTATGACAATGTCTGAACGTGGGATCTCCTGGAGTTCACGAGCCACACTCCTCACCGAATGGAGTCTGCTACGACGCAGGGTGTGAAACAGAATTCTCGCAAGCTGTTTGAACTGCTATGAAGAAAAAAAGAAGAATGTAAATTTGGATACTCCTGTTGTATCCGGGAACAGGAAGATTCTTAGGGGACCATCACCGACTATATAATTACACAGTTTTTGCTTGCATGCCGAAGAAGACTTTAGTATAGAGATATTCAGAAGAGTAAAACTGATTCTTAGGGTCCTATTAATGAAAGAATATAGCAATTATGATGCAGGATATCAAATTTGAGGGTGAATACTCAANCTCATACTGAAAGTAAGAGGACTCTTCCATGTATGCAGAAGGTACAGTGAAGTTAATATTTCATGAAGTGGCAGTGTGAATCGAAGACGGAAGTCGTAAGATAACTGCAGCGGAGGAACTAGAGAGTGACTAGTCCAAGTAAGGAAGAAGAGTGAGTTGCGTGTGAACTTGTGAGTGTTTAAGTAATGAAACAGCTGGATTCTCGCAGTGAAATTAAAGTCAACAGATCTCAGGTGCTGTCATGTATCAGATTAAAAACTGAGTGGCTAATAGTTTTGCAGGCTTATTAATCGCAGTTAATTAGCAATTAACTTACACACATATGCAGACACACAATAAATTGTATAATTTCTTCAGCCAACAGTCGTCTTTTACTGGGTTGCTGCACTTCGTTGGAGTCTTCATGTGTTTCCTCTGCTTCAGTTTGAGCCGGTACAAGCCCATCTGAAACACAAACCTTGATGTGGCTAGCTAGATTTGGGGCTCCAGAGTGCTCTCATCTCCTTGATTTTCCCAACATACTCTGTATCTGTGATACGTTTCCTGGGAGTCATGTGATATTCAGGATGGGGAACTGTGGCTATACGAGGCCAATTTTCCACTGAGATGATGTAGACAAATGCGTGAGCACGTTTCGTAATATACGTAGGACTGGTACAATAAGCGGTCACGCGAGGACAGAATTAGGAAGTAGTGGTGATGGTGGTCTCTTTCACAGTGATGGGAACAATGGAATCCTTTGCAGTAAGATGTAATGTGGAATTTCAGATTTTTAAATGGCTCACAATGTGTGATGTGTGAGGAAGGGTGGACAAGGAAGAAATTTGTATGAGTAACTTAGTTTTCTTGGTACCTATATTCGTTACAAATTGTGAAGGTTATAATTTCGTTTATTATTCTGGGGAGAAGACTGTTTAACGCCACATGTCTCCTGTGTTTCCTTCTAGAATGAAATACTAATTATTTGCAATGTGTGGTCAAGGTGTGATAAATAAGCTAAGGGCGTGTGTAGTGATGAAAGTGTCTGTATGTTCCGAGTGATGCACTGGTGCGATATTACAATTACAAAGTTTGCTAAAATTATGTTACATGTGTAAAAGTGAAATGAGAAAAAAGTGATTTGGTTTGAGATGCTGGATTGTGTACTGTCTCGACAAGGAAGAAGACAGAGGTGTTGTGAAACTGTGAACAATTGAATGACGAAACAGTTGGGAGTGTGCCGCATAAAATAAAAGTGGTAAGTGTGGGCTGTGATGATGTATGTGGATAGACAGCTGAACCACTGACTTAGCCAAAGACACCTCAGTGTGCGATCTAAGAAAGAAACAAACATTCACAGAAAGGTATCAAGTTGCAGGATGTCCTCATATGACAGTTGTCATTTTTTTCTTGAATAATTTGTTATTTTCAGATCGAATGATAAGTAATAATCAGTGTTCACTCTACTCCTGCTTTATTAAGACTCTGAAATTTGATACAGAAGTACGCCTTATATACACATAGGCTTATAACCATAGTAACACATAACAATATAAAGATACTGTTGTTACACACGTAACTGTAGTTACACATAACAGTAAACATCACTTAGGTAAAAAGACATAACCTACTTCTTAAATTGTTTACTGTGATGTTGCCAACTCTAACATTATATTTCAGTATTTGAGAGTTGCCAACATAACACTCCCCCTTAAACAATTTTGGGAGTTTTTTATTTTAAATACTTTTTCATTGATCTGAGAATTCCTGTGTAGAATACCTACATCCTTTGTAGTATCTAGGTATTTTAGAAGTCTCTTTAACAACTCAACTTCAATACTGTCGTTGTGAAATATGAAGAAGTCTTCAACATAAGTGCAGCCAGTATGATAAGTTGAACTTTAATTCATGAATTTTTTAACCAGTGGTAATAATATAACTAGTTAAAGTGAACTATATCCAGAGAAAACAAGTGAATGTGAAAATATAACCAGTGATCGAAATTGAACTTCGACTAACGAAAAAAAAAAATTTAAATATTTTAAATTTTAACTTTTAACATTTGGAATAGTATTTTAACTTGTATTTTATAAGAATAACTTGACATATATTATTGAGCGTAGGCCTGAACAGGATACAGGATTGAAATAAGTGGAAAAACGAATGTGATTGCGTGTGATTGCGCAACTGTGTTCGCACACCTGAGGATGACCTCTTGAGGTCGAAACATGTAGTGTGACAATAATAAAAACGTGTTGTGTGGTCA